GGGATATTTCTTTTCTGTACCAGTTAGTTTGACTGATACATCTCAGCGTTATATCAAAGCAACAACTTAGTGGCAAGTCTTTATTATTATAGAGAGGAATCAAGCATTTTGTCTTCCTATCAACTGGACTCTGTTCAGCTTCATCAGTTCTGTGTTTCCCTGGTAGGGGTTGGGGGTTGTGGGGGTATCTCAGGAGTCTCAGAGAGACATGTGAGGACCAAGCCAACAAATGACGGAGCTGGAAAAGCAAAAACCCTCAGTAATGAGATTATGCTGATCCAGCTTCCAGGATCCTGGCTTCTCTTTTTTTCCCCTAAGCCTTTAAAAAGACTTTGTTTTGAGAAAGAGCCTTGAGTGGCAGAGGGCTGAATACTTGTTGGTAGTCATCCACCTACAGTATAACTAAATATCACAAAATGTTGACTGTGTGAAACAGAGTAAGTTATCAGTGGGACTGAGAGATGGTTCTCCAAAGACAAGGATCTTTGTACAAAAGGATAAAGTTTCAGAACCAATATGTGATCAGCAATACAATCTAACACAGAATCTTTGTATTAGAAATCTGCTTTATTGAACACAACAAAAGAAAGCAAAGAAAGCGGAGAAAGTCATTGCAGAGATGTAACTCTTACATGACAGGATTATGTCAATACCGTTCAGGGACACTGAGTAGAAGATAACTTATTTGTCCTATGGAGAACTACAGGGTGGAATTACAATGGGCAGGATATTTAACATCAAAAGGAAGATTCCTCATTTTGATGCATGATTCAGATCCAGTTTCAGTTTATGGGGGGAGGGGGAGCATAGGTCATTTTCTTCCAAGAATTATGGCAGCCTGATAAAACTAATAATAAGATGGAAACATCAAAATGTTGTCTCTAGGTCCTCGTGACACTGATGATTTACCTTCTTATGGTAAGTAATGGAAGCTCAGATCCAGCAGGTATAGACAGAGGAAATGAGGACTGGGCAACTAGCTTAAGCCAGACACCAAGAGAAGTTGGAGGCGGGAGAGAAGAAGCAACATGAAGAGAGGGCTATACAGCCGGAGACAATGTGGAACCGAGTGCCAGTAGGATGACTTCAGTGCTTGTAGCTCTTCCTGCTGGAGGATGAGGTGGTGGTGTATTTGATGGTGGAGCTGCTGCCCCCAGCAGAGCTGAGGCCACTTCCCACGCCTCTGCCACTGCCAGAACTGAAGCCACCTCCAAGGCTGTGACTGCCGCCATAGGCATAGCCGCTGCCTCCGCCCAGGCCTAAGCTGCTGCCTCCGCCCAAAGCTAAGCCGCTGCCGACACCACTGGCACTGCCATAACCACCAGAGATGGTGGACTGCACCACGGCTGTGGAGGAGAGAAGAACAAGGACACACAACACATGGTGAGCTCATTCTACCAGCCCGCGTCCAGTCAGAAGAGAACAAGGGCAAGGGAAGGAGACAAGCAAAGATACTTACAGATGTTGACTTGTCCAACGCCTTCCCCACTCAGCCTAGGAAGGAGGAAACACAGTTGACCATGAGATCTCAGAGACCCACTATGTGACCAGCGTGGGAGGCCTCCATGTGAGGCCAGTCCATGGGGAAACTGCCTTTTCAAAGGTTCTCTCTGAGTAACAATCATGGCCATGACTAGAGGGCCCTAAACTTGTGCTCATTGGCTGGACATTACGGAGAAGCAGCCAGATGTCTGAGGGGGTTGTGAGTTACTCACCGGCACTCCTCGCCCTCCAGCAGCTTCCTGTAGGTGGCGATCTCCACGTCCAGGGCCAGCTTGACATTCATGAGCTCCTGGTACTCCTTCAGCAGCCTAGCCATGTCCTGCTTGGCCTTCTGCAGGGCATCCTCCAGGTCGGCCAGCTTGTTCTTGGCGTCCTTGAGGGCCAGCTCCCCACGTTGCTCAGCGTCAGCAATGGCGGCCTGCAGGCTGGCGCACTAGAGGGGAGATAGGCAGAAGAGCTTGTATTCCAGTCTTCCTGAGGAGACTAACCGTGCTCCTCCGTTTCCGATGAGGAAGAGGTCCAGAGCCCAGATTGCGTGGGAAGGGCTCTCTGACGCTTTTTGTCCAGTCTTCGTCCATTCTGCAAACCTTATCTAGTCTGGAAGCCACTTGAGAAAACCTGTGTCCCATGTGTTAATCACCTTGTGTAAGGCTGTGGGGACTGACTGGTGGAAGACACTACAGAGGACAATGAG